GAAGCATTTCTAGGAGGATTAAACATGTTTTAATCATCAAACAAGCTTGGGAATGAATCTATAACCTCAAAAACATCAAGATTCATTATCAATTACAAAAACCCTAATATAAACATAAAAACCTAGAATTTTAGATCTTTGAAATAAAACAAGATTAACCAGCATAAATGGTACCAAAATATATCGTTTTTCGCATAGAACAATGTTCTATTTCACGACATGATCCAAAATCCCAAGGAAATTGCTCAAAAATTAAAAAGGAATTTTCTCTTACCTAAGGAGAGGTTCACGACTTGAAGAGAAAGATAAACAAAGGTTACATGAAATTTTAGATTAATTTCATGTTAATTTAAGCTTAAATGAATATTAAATTCATTTAATTGGGAAAAGGCAAATTTACCCTTAATGAAATTTCATATTTACCACTAAACCAAGCCACATCAACCTTATCATCTTCCAAAAGTCAAAGATGAACAAAATATTTAACTCTTTACTATTTTGTCCATGCAACTTTCCAAAATTTGCAATCTTGCCACTTTAATCCAACGATCTAAATTTAACATGAAATTAAATCCTCAAATCCAAAGGTTTATATTATTTTCCATCATTTCAAAATATAGAAATAATATTTTCAAGCCTAATTTAGCATCCTTCGAATTTTCTTAAAATTTCTATTCGATCAAGATTACAGAATTTTAATCATTTATAGTTTTAACATAAATCTCGTATCAATAATTTGATTTCAATAAAACTCCACTCTCAAAAGTAAACTACTTATTTATGAAGTAAATTTTTTGGGAAAATTTCCACTTAGGTCCCTGAACTTTTCCCACTTTTATACTTTGACCGCTAAACTTTCAACACTTACATTTTGGTTACTACCAAAATTTGGGATATTATAGGATAAATCCATGAATATTAGTTTAAAAACCCTTTTTTCCTTGTTACTTGGTTTTTCTCTCCTCAAAATAAATTTAAAAAAAGAAGAAGAAAATAAAAAGAAGACCGAAATTGAACAAAGTGGCAAAAACAAAAACAAAGCGAAAGAATCACCTTTAGTCAAAGGTTTTCTTTTATTGCTCCTATCTTTCACGTTACTATATAAGAGTTCCTATTAATGGCCTCCAAAAAACCCTAAAAAAATTCTAGAATCTTTTCATTAATGCTTGATACATTAATTAAGAAAAGTAATATTAATGTAATGAAAAGATTCTAAATTGCCATAAATAAATAATGGAAAGTAGAAATCTAAATTTATTCACAAATAATAAATTAAATAATTGAAAATTAAAATTCTCATATTGGATCCGTATCTAATTTTCTGCACGAACTGTCTAAGTTAAAATGAGGCGATTCAAGATGCGTTGGAAAAATAACTGAAAGGTGATTCTATCTAAAGATAACATTATGTCTTAAAACATTGGGATCTTTCTTGAAAAATTGATGCAAGTTGGATAATGTCCCAAACTTCAAAATCGACTTCAATAAAATGTTTTGGGCCTTGGAAAAAGTAGGCCTAACAAAAATTGGGTATTATAGGAATATCTGGATTTCTCAAGCAACAGTTTAAACGGAAGCTTGTCGTTATCAATTGGTAGTCTAAAAGCTCTAAGATATTCCAGCTGGTTTATTTGATCTGGGATTGAAATATATTGATCTTTTGATAATCGATTAAACGGTTTGATTCTCAGAGATTTGAGTAGTCTCTTCGAGGCTCTTCGAAACTTGGATATATTTAGAAGTGACCTTGAAGGAACGATCCCGACAGAAATAGGACTTTTTGCCAACATGAGGTACTTGAACTTATCATGGAACAAGCTTCAGTCAAGGATACTGCTAGTGCTCATGTTGTTCCTGAAGTTGACCGTGCTTGATCTTCGAGACAATGCATTGTCTGTTGATGTTTCAAGGGATATATGTGTATGGTTATTCTTCAATTGGATCAAAATTCATTGATTGAACCATATTCGGATTAGATGAAGTAGTGGTTTAGAGATAAAGTAGAGGAAGTGGTGGAGAAGATAGGTTTTGGGGAAGAAACTATAGGGAAAATGGGGCAAATTGATATTTTATCTCTGAACTATTTTGGATTTACAAAAGGATCCATAATTAGTAATTTATCTAAAGTTTAAGGGTTTATTTCTAACGTGTCACATCATCAAAACATGGCAGCTATCTTCTCAATAACCACATCCTTATTAAAACAAAACGAAAGTGACCATTTATTATGTTTTTTGAATCGAGTGACCATACGTTTATAAAATGAAACAAAAGTGACCAACTATGTAGTTTACCCTATTATTTTATTAGGAATCAAGATAGAGCTAAAACAAATATCCTTAGTTTATTGTTACTAGGAATTAGGATAGTATTTTATTATTATTTTCAACATTAGTCATACTACAACAAGGACTCATTCACAGTATATAAAGGATTCTCATCCCACAATTATAAACATATATTTTCTTGAATACAATATATTGAGAGTTTATTTTTGCAAGTGTTAATTACTTGTGTCTTCGAAGCTTCTTTTCATTAGGTTTTTTTCAAGTTCATTGTGAGAGAGATCTTCATATTTCAATTTGCCTCTTCATTTCGATTATGAGGGTTGATTAGAGCCGATTATCGAGTTTTCCTAGTTAATTGCGACTAGGAGAATTCATAACACTTATTCATCGATTTACATCATCAACTACACACCCATTACCACCTTATCGATAAGTTTGTGTTATCATCTACATACTATAGGGAAATTTCAAACTCAATTTTCTCTTAATTTGTTTATCTTTTTTCAATTTCATTTTCGTTTTCATATTCATATTCCTTATTTGATTATCTATCTAATGCCTATTTGCTTGTCTCATTTCATGTCATGATCAATTTTCTCTTAAAACCCTAATTTGGCTAAGTTTTACATATCTTATCTTATTTATTATCTGTATTTATCTGTCTTTTTATTACCCTTATTTTTCCTTGTCTTAATCTTTCAATTGTCTCAATTTCCCACAACCCTAATTTCTACATCCTATCTCCTTATCGATGTCACATCTTAATCTTTCCTCTCATTCTTTGATCGATTCTAGAGCTTTCTAGGTTTGATTCTTCAACAATGAGCAACATCATTCATTCGTTGATATATCTCTATCAGGTGTTGGTGGTTAGCAACGGTCAAAGAGTATGAGAATAAATTTTAATTTTAGGGGGCGTTTAGTTGACATAATGTAAGATTACCTTTGGGAATAATATTACTGGAATGTAATATTACTATGGGGATGATGTATTACTTTTTTTTGTTTGTCTAGCAGGAATGTAAAATTATAGTGTTTGGTTGGAGGAATATAATATTACTTGAATGCATATTTTACTTAGTTATCCTTGTGATATATTTTTTTTAAAGTTGAACTTTAATATTAAATTATAAATATTTGAATGAAAATTTATAGAAATATTTTAATTATTATGCTATTTAACTATTGAGAAAAAATAAATTTAATATATAATTTCATAAGTATCATATTTATTTGTATGAAAAAATAATATTATGATCTTGAGTGGACATAAATATGATTTTTTAATGTATAAGATATATTTTTTAATAACTTAAAATAAGATATTATTTTAAATATTATATCTTTACAATAATATTATTATTTTTATCTCATGAAATTTTAAATATTTAATATATTGAATACTAAAAATATAAAATAATTCTAAATACTCAAATTTATTAGTATTTCATTAAATTAATCTTTTTGTATATTATTGTTATATTTATAATTTTGAGTAAAATACAATAAATATGAATCGAGAAGGATCTTTATAAAAATAATTCATTAGTCAAAGGTATATTCTTGTAAAAAATATGTCTTCTTGTTTGTTAATCTTATTTTTATGCCTAATTTTAATTCTCAATCGTTCAATATTTTAAATTAACCCATCATTTAGAGATGGTAAATCGATAATTTGACACAAATACGACCCTATAATATGTGTTAAAGCTTGTTATCAAAATTTTATATTGATCTTGTATGAAAAATTTATCAATCATTCAATTTTATAATCGTATGTTTTCACTGGACTCTCATTTGTTATTATCCTATATAAATTTTAATTATTATTTTTTAGTAATAAAAAATATAATTTACATAATATATATTTTTATATAATCAATGATATTTGATTTAATGATCAACTAATCTAGATTAAGTATTGTAGAGGCATATTATAGAACAATCCTCCCAACTCAGTTTATTCTATTCACAATGTTAAAATCTAAAAATCTAGCCTTACTTAAAAATTTAGTACCTCATCCCATTAAATCAATAATTTACACAATATATTAATAAGTGGTATACAATAATAATGTGGTATTAATCTCAATCTTATGTGTACGACAGGCTTTTCTAGTTGAGACCCTTACGAATGGTAGTTTAATAAAATTGTTCCATATTATATTCAAACCTATCTTGTTTCTGGTTAACCAAACTACAAACTAATGGCTTTGATGTTTGTTTCCTGATGACCAAATTACAATGAAAGGGAAGTGTCAGATGGTCCCCTGGATCTCGACAACTCTGGCTTATAAATCGTCTAGATCTAACAACTCTAGGTAAAAAGACCACAATCTACAAATGCTACATTTAAGTCTTACATAAAGTTTAAATATAACATATGATTGACTACCTGTTTACAGTATTATGCATAAAATATGAAGCAATGCAATCAACCCATTTCTTAAAATTGACTTGTATACTCACCCAAATAACCCTCCACCCCTTTAGATTGAATCACAAGAAAGATTATTTGTTTCAGTACTACTAAAATCACAACTAATTTGAGTCTATTTGACTGCAACAACAAGAGACTGAAGCATCTGCCTTGTTGGTCCTACAGTTTATTTGCTTGCAAATTGATACTTTACTCCTAAGGAAATCTACATTGCTTTATTTGCAACCTATGCAAGTAAAATTTCGTTTTCTCTGCTCTTCTTTGTTCTTCGACTACAAAAATGACAACAATTGTTTCTCATTAGTCAATGAACAATGAAAGGTTCCAAAAAAGAATCCACGATGATTGCCAGGAACATGTTGTGCACAAACCAGAATCCCATGCATCGTTTATCAACTAAAAAAATGAAGCTTCTGAACCTGTCTCTACTTGTTCACTTGTGTTCTCTCGTGCTTTTCTCAGCTCAGTCCACTGATCAGCCTCCATTCTCATGTGATTCATCTGACCCACTAACCAAATCCTACCCTTTCTGCAAAACTACACTTCCCACTAACCAAAGAGTTCAAGACCTCATCTCCAGGCTCACATTAGATGAGAAAATATCTCAACTTGTTAACACGGCTGTCGCCATTCCACGACTCGGCATCCCTGGCTATGAGTGGTGGTCTGAGGCCTTACACGGGGTTGCCTTCGTGGCCAACATAAGCCAAGGTATCCGTTTCAATGGAACAATTCAATCTGCCACCAGTTTCCCTCAAGTCATCCTCACTGCTTCTTCTTTTGATCCTTATCTATGGTACCGCATTGGCCAGGCAAGTCCTATTACTTCTCTGTCTGCTTTAATGTCAACCCCAAGAGTATTAGAATTGAAAGTTATTTCGATCTTTTCAATAAGAAAACTAGTTTAATTACAAGTGCATAGGCATAGCTCAAACTAGATTTAGATAATCCCTCATTTTCATTGTGTGACTACTGACAGGCAATTGGAATAGAAGCTAGAGGAGTATATAACGCTGGACAAGCAAGAGGCATGACATTTTGGACACCAAATATTAATATATTCAGGGACCCAAGGTGGGGAAGAGGACAAGAAACACCTGGTGAGGATCCATTGGTTACAGGAAAGTATGCAGTCTCATTTGTGAGAGGAATACAAGGTGACTCATTTGAAGGTGGCAAGCTTGGCGAGAATCTTCAAGTTTCAGCTTGTTGTAAGCATTTCACAGCTTATGATTTGGATAACTGGAAAGGAATTAACCGGTTCGTCTTTGATGCTAATGTAAGTCGTGCCTTTCAAATAATTTACTTATCATTAGTACTGTTTCTTTGTGTTTAAACTAATTTGCTTGAATCATTCAGCTATGAAGTGCATTATCGAATGATTCGTATTGTTTCTGGATTTTGTTTAGGTAACTGTACAGGATTTAGCAGACACATATCAGCCTCCTTTCCGGAGTTGCATAGAGAAAGGGAAAGCCAGTGGGGTAATGTGTGCTTACAATCGTGTTAATGGAGTTCCAAACTGTGCAGATTACAAACTGTTGTCAAAAACGGCACGAGGACAGTGGGGTTTCAATGGGTAATAAAAATGGACTTGTGCTAGATAACTTTTAAAAGTTCATTCAGAAAGATAACTCTTGGTTTGGTTCAAAAACTATCCAGGTACATCACCTCAGACTGTGATGCTGTCTCAATCATTTACGATGAACAGGGATATGTTAAAGAACCGGAGGACGCTGTGGCCGATGTTCTTAAGGCCGGTAATTAGATTTGGCATTTTGTTACTGGTTAAATCAACTCTGTATTTTAAACTTGTGCTAGATTAATTATTCAAGCAGTCGCTCTATGTATCTAGTTTAGGGATGCTTGCTAATAAGATCGTCTGAAGTTTTAATCATACATCTTACCAGGAATGGACTTGGACTGTGGTGAATATTTGAAGAACCACACCGGATCAGCTGTAGAAAAGAAAAAGGTGTCAGTGTCTGATATAGATAGAGCACTTCACAACCTTTTCTCAATCAGAATGAGGCTGGGGCTTTTCAATGGAAATCCAACTAAACTGCCTTTTGGAAACATCGGTTCTGACCAAGTCTGCTCCCAAGAACACCTGAATCTTGCTCTCGAGGCTGCTCGAAATGGCATTGTCCTTTTGAAAAACACTAACAGACTACTTCCACTTGCCAAAACAGAAACTACTTCCCTTGCTGTAATAGGCCCTAATGCCAATTCTACTGAAACACTTGTTGGAAACTATGCAGGCCCTCCTTGCAAACCTATTACCCCATTGCAAGCATTGCAAAGCTATGTCAAGAATACCGACTATCACCCGGGTTGTAGCACAGTTAACTGTTCTTCAGCTTTGATTGATGAAGCAATAAAGATAGTGAAAGGTGCAGACCAGGTGGTACTAGTAATGGGATTGGATCAAACCCAAGAGAGGGAATCTCATGATCGTGCCGACTTGGTTCTTCCTGGACACCAACAAAAACTCATTACCAGCGTTGCAAGTGCTGCAAATAAGCCGGTCATTCTGGTGCTTCTTTGTGGAGGACCAGTGGATATAACCTTTGCCAAGAATGATCGAAACATTGGGAGCATCATATGGGCTGGCTATCCAGGTGAAGCCGGAGGACGAGCTTTAGCAGAAATTATATTTGGTGATCATAATCCAGGTGAAGTTTCAGTTACCAAGTTTGTATGAATTAAATTATTTGCCATTCTTTGAACGATAAATAGAAATGCAATTATGTATACAGGGGGGAGATTACCAATGACTTGGTATCCACAAAATTTGACTAAAATACCAATGACAGACATGAGAATGCGTCCTGAACCATCTTCAGGCTATCCTGGACGCACTTACAGATTCTACCGAGGGCCAAAGGTTTTCGAATTCGGCTATGGTCTCAGCTACTCGAACTATTCCTATGAATTTCTCCCTCTAACAAAAGATAAGGTCTATCTAAACAATCAATCAGATGATAAAATAGGTCTGCGGTACAAGTTGGTTTCGGAGATGGGAACTGAACTTTGCGAAAATAGCAAGTTGCCAATCACAGTAGGGGTTCGGAACGATGGTGAGATGGACGGCAAACATGTGGTGCTGCTGTTTGTGAGGCAAGCAAAGGCCGGTAATGGAAGGCCGATAAAACAATTGGTAGGATTCAACAGTGTTGCTCTGAAAGCAGGGGAAAAAGCTGAAATCAAATTTGAGTTGAGCCCTTGTGAGCATCTTAGCAGTGCAAATGAAGATGGTCTAATGCTGGTAGACGAAGGGTCCCATTTCTTAAGCATTGGAGACAAAGAATCGGAGATTACGGTCGTTTTCTCAGCTGATAGTAGCGGAGGTGCCACGTTAAAGCAAGAGACGGATACGGTTCTCCCAATAATCTTGGCATTCTTCTACATATATACATTCCTATGCGTATCGTTTTGAAATCCATCTCTTGTAACGAGTTAATGGACGTTCCCAACTTTTTACATGATTGTTCAGACGTCTGTTTTTGCAATCATCCATAACTTGATTTCAAAACACAGTAATTTCCAAGAAGAAAGCGAAGGCCCATATTCTTTTTTACACACACGATCATACTGGTGACCCACTGATAAGGCGATTTCGACCACTCTAACCAAATTTATGTTATAGTACAAATTTATAAAATTTTATAAGAAAAAAACTTATTTTCACTGTAAGAAATAAGGAATGCAATTCAATGAGCAAAGCATTCCCAATTCCCTCTTGAACAATAAAATAATTTAGATTGAATTATGTTTCATAAATGGTTAAATTTAGGAAAATATTTATAGATTTGAGATAACATTTATATTAGATTTTAAAATCGTCAGACTCGCGTATTATAATTTTGATAAATAAATTGTTTTATGTAAGTAAAATTGAAATTTGCAACTAAAATTTTCGACAAATGTCAATGACATTATTAGTCGGTGACAACTATCGATGATTTTGATTTGATTTTAATTTTATTTTTTACATTATAAGGATCAAAATAAAATAAATTAAAATTATAGAAACTAAAGTAATATTTTTAGAAATTTTAAATGAAACAACATGGTGTAACTTGTGTAATGCCAACTGTTAGATGAAAATCTTATGTACGGGTATATAATTAAGATGATTTTTCTATTTTATGTAACTTTTAAATTTTGTGGTGATAAAGGACCGAAAGCATATTGTCATTAGTTTTACCCTTGAAATTTAATTTTAATTTTTTACATTTATTAATAATTTTAAATCTTTAATTAGTCATATTTAAAAATTATTTTATACATAAATATATGTGCAATTTTAATACATGGATAGAAAAATCTAATAATTTATAGATTTATTTTTTAACAATCTAATATGATTCTAAGATAAAAACTATTTATAATTTTTCTTATTATTAATAATATGGATGATTCTTCCACGCTCGGCAAATACCGATGAGCACCAATAACGATGAGCACCGATAAATTAATTTATAAAATATTAAGTTATAAAGTACTTAACGTATAATTATAATTTAGTTGAAAATCTAAATAGAATTTATTTAAATTATAATATTAATTACATTAATTTTTAGGGTAAACTACATGGGTGACCACTCAACCATAGTAAAAAATTATTTTGATCACTGATGTTTCGATTTGATCAATTAGACACCCAACTATTTGAATGTTTTAATCAAGTTACCCTTAGTTAACATTTAGCAGGTGATGTGGCATTTCAAACATTTCAATATAATTACACAAGTGATCTTATTTATATATTCTTCAATTTAGTCTTAATTTTAATAATAAAAATAAATTTAACCATCGAATTAAGAGATAATCTATAGACAACTAAAATATATATCTTCTATGGTTTACTCAAAATTAGTATTTGTCTTAACTTATTAAATATTATATATTTTTTATTTTATCTCTGTATTTAACTTATTAAATATATATTTTTATTTTATCTCTATCATTAACTTATTAAATATTTTTTTATTTATCTCTATCTTTAACTTATTAAATATATATTTTTATTTTATCTTTTTCATAACGTATAATATATATATATTTTTTTTAATTTATGAAATATATATTTATATTAAAATAAAAATAAAATATATTTAATAAATTAAAATAAAAATGTATTTTTATATTTTTATAAATAAAAATACATTTGTCTTAACTTATTAAATATATATATTTTTGTTTTAATTTATAAAAAAACAAAAGCATATAAATATATTTAATAAATTAAAACAAAATTAAAAGATATTAATGGTTATGTTGGTTTCATATGCTTACTATCCCAGGTTCAAGTCCCGTTGGTATTATTTTCACTTTTTTGTCATTAATGTGGAATATGTTATATACCAAATATTACAAATTTAAGCATTATGTCATACTTAGCTGGGTGGTTAAGGGCTTAAGGCGAGGGACATACTACTAAGATGTCCCATGTTTGACCCTCTTTAGCGCATTGTTCTTAATTATTTTCTCTTTAATAGGGTGGTGACACATGTCACCACTCTACTGGATGGAAAATTCATTAAATTAAATAAATAAAAATTAAGAAAATATCATCTAATCAGGTATTGACATGTCACTATCTAATTTGAGATTACATTTATTTTAATTGAATTAAATTATGACTAAATTAATATAATACATAAATATTGAGAACTAAATATGTAATTATACCAATTTTTTAACTACCATGTCACCTCCTACGTTAAAAAAAATTAACGGTCAGTGGCTTGATTGAAACATTTAACTAGTTGGGTGATTTGTTTGATCAAATCGAAACATCGGTGGTCAAAATGATTTTTTACCATAGTTGAATGGTCACCCTTGTAGTTTATCCTAAAAATTTAATGTAATTAATATTATATTTTAAATAAATTACATTTAGATTTTCAACTAAATTATAATTATATGCTGAGTACATTATGATTTAACTTTTTATAAATTAATTTATCGGTGCTCATCGATATTTGTCAAACGTACTAGAATTTTCCTTAAGAATACATATACATCCTATAAACGTAACTATTTAAATTTTAAATTTTAAATGAAAACAATAATTCTTTTAATCACTTGCGTTTTATTTATAATTTCATAATGGGAATTAGATTTGTAGCGTTGGCATGGAGTATATGTTGTTTTGATACTTGACATTGATTCAAATTTTATAACCTTGTAATTATATTTACTTTCTAAGATTTAGAACAATATTTAAAATGCTTCGTATTTTCTTTTTTTTAGATAATTTGTTTTTCTAATATTCTAAACCTCAGAATTTTATATTTTTTTTGCTATGATTATATTAAAAATATAATCAAAATAAAATCCTTTAATAATTATCTATCATTTTGAGAGAGAGAAAATTCGTTTTTAATTAAAAAACCCAAAAATGTGTATTAGAAAAATAACTCCAAAACAATATTAATTGGAAAAATACCTCTCAAATTATCCACGTAAGACTACCTCACATTCTAAAAAGCGTATAAAGACATCGGGTATTACGGAGCGTGATACTTATCTGATCTGGAAGCACTTTCAGATAATTGAATTTAATAGTAGGATAAAGGACCTCGCGGTATGCAGAATGCAAGGTCCATGAGAAATTAAATTTATTACAGGTAGTATGTAAAAATCTCGTGTCCAACAGAGCGCAAGGTACATGCATTTTCTTCCCTCAATGCAAGTGTTTATAGGCATGTGCAAGGGGTATTTTAGGGTAGTTAATCTAAAACTTTTGTAATTTGTAAGATTAGAGACGCGGTATTTAAATTTATCTTTCAATTGAGGTCAATATCGACACATAAGAGATATTGTATGTGGGTTAAAAATCGCGTTGAAAAAGGTTTGAAACTTGTTTTGTGCATGAATAAAAAGCTAAACTGGTTTGATAGGCATATTAGATGGGGTTTCGTGTAGTTAATGTGAAAATGTTTTGTAATTTATAAGATTAGAGGCGTTGTATTTTAATTTATCTTTAAATTGAGGCTAATATCGGCATATACGAAATATTATAAACGGTAAAAATCGAATGTTAAAAGAGAAAAGAGGTTGTCTGCCTTGCCCGGTACACAAAAGAGTCGACCTTTTTGAATTATATAGCCAGTGACGAAGATAAAAAAATGCGAATATGATGAGAGTTTATATTATTAATACAAGGAAAGAATGGGGAAGAAAGAGAAATGTGGACGGAGAAGGAGAGGAGGTGGAGATTATTAGAGTTTTACATGTCAATTTCGAGGGACAAGACGAGCGAAATTGAATCAGACAAACTGTGAGTTGTTTTAGTATCATGCGAAAATACTGGAGCTATATAGAAATGTTACTGTGGATTCTGTTTTGTTCCTTTTCTTCAGATGTGGTCACGCTTGGACCATTCTAATGACAAATTACCCTTTTCCTTCAGCCCAACATTATCACATTTGAAAAATTGGAGGAATACCAGACTATATTCCTTGACTACGTGTTTTTTTTTTTACTTGGCTACTTATATTTTTATTAATATGGAGTGGGTAGAAGGTTGACTATATGTTTTAAAGGTCAAAATAAGGGGATGTCTCATTGGGGCGAAACCTTCAACCAAAATAGCTCGTGTGTTCTCGTGTTGCGGTTGGAAAGTCAATGACTTGATGTATAACAAGTTGATTGGATCAATGAACCATGGGACTGCAGGGCAGAAATCGGGATGGCATTATTTGGCAATACATTTACCACCACCTCTCATGGTTACACTTACTGCCCAACTTCCTTTGGACTAGGGCCCATAAACTCATTATTTGGATTTAAAAACTCAACTTTGTAGCTCTACATCGCTATATTGTATAATTGTCGCATTCTAATTACAAATAGGATGATGTGGAGGTCCGGAGGATCAACGAGACAGCAGTTTCAAAAGCTCCCGGAAATTCAGACTCCTTTGAGATTTTACGGGACGCCGATGATTAGAACTGGTTCGGATCAAAGCACCAAATGAGTACCAGGTAATTGAAACTATCAAGTTTCTGTTAAATCATCATTTGAGGTGCTTGACCAGGACCAATGAAACCGAGTCCGAGGGAGCTGTCCCGATGGCCAGTGGTTTACATGGATCTGCTATTGGTATGCATTATTAACATGTTCCCTATTCCCAACCAATCAGATTAAAGGATTGATCTTCTTTCATCAAAAAGTACAGTGGTAAATTATTAACATTCTTTTTCATTGTTCTCTCATTTTTTTAATTTTATTACTTGTAAAATATACATTTTTTAAAGAATATCAATATTCAATTTATTCGTCCATCAATTTAGAGCATACATTTATTATAAATGGTATTTTAAATTTAATTTAATTAATCATATTGTTAAAAATATTTATAATTTTACTTAAAGAAATTTATATTTTGTTCTATTATATTAGATTGACAATGCATAATAATTTTTTTCTTTTCACGTACTTCCTTAGAGAATATGAACATCTTTGGCTAGAA